GTATACGCGAGATGTGTTTAGATATACGTAAAGATCTGTCTATATTTCTGAGATGAATTATTATCTACACTATTTACATTATTCGGACTATTGTCCTCATCTTTATCGCCATATTTAGTACAACATTTCGGCCTTTCAGTATCTGTCTATATTTCTCAGATGAGTTATTATTTAAACTATTTACATTATTCGGACTATTGTTCTCATCTTTGTCGCCATATTTATTATACGTTTCGGCCCTTATAGTATCTGTCTATATTTCTGAGATGAGGTATTATTTACACTATTTACATTATTCGGACTATTGTCCCTGCTCTTTGTCGCCATATTTAGTACAAAGTTTCATTACAACAATTTCAGCCTTCTTCAGTATCTGTCTATATTTCTGAGATGAGGTATTATATACACTATTTACATTATTCGGACTATTGTCCTCATCTTTGTCGCCATATTTATTACAATGTTTCGGCCCTTTAGTATCTGTCTATATTTCTGAGATGAATTATTATCTACACTATTTACATTATTCGGACTATTGTCCTCATCTTTATCGCCATATTTAGTACAACATTTCGGCCTTTCAGTATCTGTCTATATTTCTCAGATGAGTTATTATCTACACTATTTACATTATTCGGACTATTGTTCTCATCTTTGTCGCCATATTTAGTACAACGTTTTGGCCCTTTAGTGTCTGTCTATATTTCTGAGATGAGGTATTATGTACACTATTTACATTATTCGGTCTATTGTGTACATCTTTGTCGCCATATTTAGTACAAAGTTTCGGCCATTGTACGCTCCGGCCTTCTTCAGTATCTGTCTATATTTCTGAGATGAGGTATTATATACACTATTTACATTATTCGGACTATTGTCCTCATCTTTGTCGCCATATTTATTACAATGTTTCGGCCCTTTAGTATCTGTCTATATTTCTGAGATGAATTATTATCTACACTATTTACATTATTCGGACTATTGTCCTCATCTTTGTCGCCATATTTAGTACAACATTTCGGCCTTTCAGTATCTGTCTATATTTCTCAGATGAGTTATTATCTACACTATTTACATTATTCGGACTATTGTTCTCATCTTTGTCGCCATATTTAGTACAACGTTTTGGCCCTTTAGTGTCTGTCTATATTTCTGAGATGAGTTATTATCTTCACTATTTATATTATTCGGACTATTGTCCTCATCTTTGTCGCCATGTTTATCACAACGTTTCGGCCGCTGTACGTTCTGGCCTTCTTCAGGTGGTCCTCAAGGACACATGGCACGGTGGAGAAAGGCGTTAGTTAGATCCAGTCACAGGGACCAAAGAGTGTGAGTTCAATACCTGGTTAAGGTGGTGGAGAACCGTGAGAGGGGAATGAACAGGAGATAACTGACATTTATTAGACATGGCACGAAATAAAACAGTCTTTAAGTGAGCGAAATAAAGGGTTCAGTTCGACATTCCAACAAGAAATGATAAATTTCTTAGATAGATATATAGATAATATGAACCGAAGGATAGATAAATATAGATAGATAGATAACCAGAGAATAATTCATATTAATAGAAAAATAATAGATTGATCTATCCACTATCCTTCTTCTCATCCTTTTTTCTAATTACTCCTATCTGATCTTGCTCCAAATTTTCTGTAATTTTTTTTAAAATTGGCTTCCGCCTTCCTTTTTCAGATAAATTTAAAAAAAAAGATAGATTTTAATTCAATGTAGATATATATGAATAGAATAATAGAATGAAAGATGTATATATAATGAATAGACATAGATAAGTAGATAGAAAAAATAGATAATGAACAAACTCAGATAAATATGAACATGCAGATAAAAAGTGGAAAATAGATAGATGAATGAATTTATAGATAATGAAAATAGAATTAAGAGATATAGAAAATAGATAGATAGAAAATTTAAAATTTAATGAAAGAAAATAATTTTTAAAAAAAAATAGAAAAAAAAGAAGATACGTATAGACATTTTTGAACGGGAATGATAGATACAGGAAATATATATATATATATATATATATATATATATATATATATATATATATATGTATATATGTGTGTGTGTGTGTGTTGTGTGTGTGTGTGTGTGTGTGTGTTGTAAAAAATAAAAATAGGAAAAAAAACTCGTTAGGTAAATAATCCAAAGTTCTTTAGTAATTTTTTATTTTTTTTTAAAAAAGTATATAATTTTCATACAAAAGTAGAAACATATATATATATAAATATATATATATATATATATATATATATATATATATATTATATTTAATAGATAATAATTTATTTGAACAATTTTGAACAGATTGAAACTATGAACAGGCAGATAGATACGGATAAATATAGATAGATAGATAGACAGTTAGACAGACAGACAGATGTAAATAGTTGGATATATGTATGTATGCGTGTGTTTGCATTTTAATCTGTTTTTCTTGTTGACGGATTTTCATAATCGAATTTCGGTTGTTAATATTGTTAATTTTTCAAAACCATTTTGGCTGGCTTTCCTTCAATTTTAATCATGCAAAAAAAAATAATAGAACTTCTTAAAACAATCTAATAAAAGAGATTACAAATTTTAGAAGATTTCACTATTGATCCAAAACAAACAAAAACCAACAAAATAACTTATGGTTCTGGAATGGATATTCTGAAATGTATTTAAAATTAACAACATCATTTTTTAAATTCCCTGAAAACATGAAATTATTTAAATTTGAAAATATCAATCAATTTGCCCCAAATTTATATATATATATATATATATATATATATATAGTTCATTTGACAAATTTGACGTCTGTTGACGAAATATAAAAAAATAATATTTGTTGTTTATTTTTTTTTATCGTTTTCTTTGTCTCCCCAAGTTTTCCTGTGTGTCTGTATTTTATTAGTTGATTCTTCATTTTTTTTAATTTTCTGTCAATTCAGTTTGAAAATACCATGTTTAGACAGATTTCTTTCTTATTTGGTTTCCTTTTGGGTCCGGCACTTGCTAATATTTTTTTGTTGTTTTCATATAAAAAAGAATACGTAGGAATGCACTTCGTCCTCAATGGATCATTTTGTTATTAAGTTGATGATTTTTTTGTTTATTCAACAATGAAGTTGAGGCTGATCATTTTTTCTTTTTTCAAAACCAGGTGTCCATCCAGCACTGAAAGTACTGTCGAGAAGATTATGGAACTTTTCAATTGGCCTTCATCGATGTTTTTTTTCACATCGAACACCTACATGGAATTTAAAACTCGATTTATAGGAAACCACATTTGTATGGTTATATACGCGTTCATTTTCCTTTTGTCCTATAAAACATAAGATAAACATTATTTAGAAAAATTTTTCAAGGGTATTAATGTCAAATTCAGAGTCCTTCTTGGATGATGTCATGGGTCCTTACCTATAACTACAGAATGAACTATTTTGAGAAAATATGTATATTACGCCTCTCTTTTTCTTGCGATTCAACTATTATTAAAAAAAAAAAAACAACTGTCGAAACTTTTTCTGAGCATAAAAATGAACCCGGACGAGAAGAAACTATCGAATAACGGCAGAGAACTCGTTCAATTTCGAATTTGAACTCTTTCCTTTTTTTTAATACAAGTTTACTAGGTTCTTTTTTTTTTGAAAGCCTACAATGGAGATTAGTAAATTTACAAAATCAAACTCGGCAATGTCATTTTACATACAACCCCTCGTGCTCAACAGTGGCTTTAGATACCGAATCAAGCCGATTAGTTCTGGTTTGATAAAAACTCTGCATTCTGAGATAAAAGAGAGGAACCCGGACGAGACTCCGCCGAAATAGAGTCTCGTTCAAATAAGGTTGAACCCGATCCCGTTTATACGGGTTCTACAAATTTGTTTGGCCCAGGTTAGTAACTCAATTAACCCACGTTAAACTCGGCCTTTTATATGGTGCAAAGCTCGTTGGGGGTACTAGATACCGAATCGAGTCGAGCCGATAGTAGTTCAATAATACCATTTGACAAAAAAATACTAACACCTTTCAACATCTTGTATTATTATTTCTTTGATTTTTCTGGCCCTAGACTTCAAACTTTCAAATGACGTAAAGTCGGCACTGACAATAGAAATTTAATAGACCTTTTATATTCAATTCAAATCATTATATTCAATGTCCGTTGTCTCTTATCATATATTTATATGATGTCCCCCAAATTCAAATAACTTTATATATATCTCTTTTTTTAACTTTTTACGGTTATTTACTATCTCGGATGGTTAAGACCGGATTTAGATGTCTTAAAAAAGAGGCTATTCCACTTTTGATTCATTTATTTTTCCAAATTTCCCCATTTTTACGATTAAAGGAAAATTAAACAATTTGAGTAAAACCAAAGATGATGACTGTTTTCATTCGTTTCTCAGTCGACAATTGACTTCCTCAAAAGAATCATTTCATTATATTAAGATGTGATTGGAAAAGAATATAAATGAATGTTGAAATTTTTAATCGGAGATCTATAATAGAAATAAATCAACGCAATAAATTCAGAAATTATTGGCTTAAGACAGAATTATTCTGAAATGGAATAATAGGAAAATTAATGAACAGTTGTTTAGAGTCTACAATATTTTTTTTTTTTTTTTAAAATTTGGTTAAAAGAAAAAAATTGAACATTGCTAAATATAAAAAATTTTTTTTGATATCCTATTTGCCATAAAAAAATGGATAAAGCCATTACCTCGAACCATCGCCAGTGAAAGAAAATAAAAAGCAAGAGTTATAAAATCCGTTTTTTTATTTTATTTTAAAGAAAAGGAGTGTTCGTTTATTTCCTCAATCAGAAAAAATATGATTGAACGTAACGGAGAATAATATTTCTTCAAAATATCCAAAATGATTCCAAATAGTAAAAAAAAATCATTCATTAAACTGTTTTAAAATAAATATATATATATATATATATATATATATATATATATAAATATATATATATA